GTTCACAAACGGAGCCTGTGGGAGCAAGACGCTGAACCCCGTTTTGAACTCCTGACCTTGAGCGATCCTCCCGCCTCGGCCTCCCAGAGTGCTAGGATTACAGGCGTGAGCCACCACGCCCAGCCCTGGTTGTTTTTAAGAGCATGTGATTTGGACATAAGACAACCTGTAAGTTACGTACTCCTCAATTTTATTTTAAACATCTGAGGGTCAGAATAAATAGAAGTACTAACTTGCTACTCAGAATGCTAATCTATTTTTAACTTTTGGGGGAGACTTTTCTATGTTTCACTGCTCACATTTTAGACACTTATTTACTCATATGTGTTTACAAATCAGTAAGTTTCTAAGTTAAATATAAGTATATTTCCTTGATATGCTGGGATTAAGTTCTTATGCACTCTCTCTCCCTACAATTTCTTGCAACAGCTTTCGATTGCCGGCAATTTTATTTCTTACTTTCAGAACTTATACGGAAAGAAATGCCAGCTTTAAGTCATTCTTTAGAAGTCAGACCTTCTTCAAGTCATTCAAATATATTTAAAACTTTGCTACAAGAAAATATACATTAATGTTTAAAACTGTGAGAAAATGGAGGAACGGTTCTTACATTAATCTCACATTAATTTCTATAAGTAATGTTTTTATTAGCGAGACTGATAAACTCCATGCTGATATACAATAAATGTATTCTACGATAGGTTGATTTTTACCTTGCCAGTATGACTGTTTAAAACCAGAAAAAATTAATTTGGGTTAATGTGATTACGCATCTGGGTCAGTATTAGAAAAGTTCCCTTTTATTTTACCTCGTGTTGACACAGAGAAAGCCACGGCAGGTCTCTAGGTGGCCTCAGGGGTGCCGCACTGCCCCCTGCCCGCCTGCTTCTGGGATGACCAGTGGTGTGAGAGGGCCGGCACCACGGCAGCCCCAGCGCACACCCACGTCCTCCTCTGCTCCTCCCCTCTTTAAAGACCAGGAGGCTGGGAACGCAGACTGAAACGACCGCGTGACCCACCGGGGCCACCCCACAGTGCCAGTCAGGGAACTGTGATGCCCCGAGGCCTGGGCACCCCTCGTGCAGACGGAGTTCCGAGCTGGGCCTGCTCCCGCCCAAGCACACTGACGCCCCACTCTCCGGTTTCCAGAGCCCCCCCCCCCCCCCCACACACAGCCAGTCCTCTCCTGGCCGAGAAACTGTCACCAACTACCGCTAGTGGGACCTAAACGGAGAGACCCGCCAACGCTTTCCCTAGCTCACAGAGATGGCCTGCCCAGCACAAGCACGGAAGTGACAAGGGACAGGTGGCCGACCTCAGGCACACAGGGCTCCTGTGCGCAGGATGCGTCCTTCGTCCTTTCGTTTTGTCCCTGAGAGCAGGGGTTCTCGATGGAGGTGCCCGGGGTGCCGTGAGCCCCCGCGGGGCACAGGTGGCTGTCGTGGCTAAGAGACACCGGCAGGGTCCGGTGGGTACAGACCGCGGAGGCTGACACCGTCCTTGCCCCGCTCAGATCCTCCCGCACGACCTTCCCAGGTCCCAGACAGCGGGGTGGGAAACCCGCCTCCAGCTCTCCGAACCCAGGATCTTACCCCATGCGACATCCACACGCTAAGCAGCTTTGCGTACTGCTGATGTGACTTGAATTTTCCAGGAATTCAACTATCATGCAAGTCCAGAAAAACTATACTTTGCTTTATCTGAAACTTCTTTAGGGATGGCTCATCCTTCTGTAATAGTCTGTGACAGGGGGCGTCTGAGTCCCCGCGTGATGCCCAAATCGGTCTGCAGGGACCGTCCTCCCAGGCCTGGGGGTGGCACCTGGCTTGTCACCAGGAACGAGTAGCTCATTACATACCACTGTTGTGTTTCTCTACTACAGTACACCGGGGAAAGCCTATTAATTTTACATTAAGAATTTTTTTTTTTTTGAGACAGAGTCTCGATTTGTTGCCTAGGCTAGAGTGAGTGTCGTGGTGTCAGCCTAGCTCACAGCAACCTCAAACTCCTGGGCTCAAGCAATCCTCCTGCCTCAGCCTCCCGAGTAGCTGGGACTACAGGTATGCGCCACCATGCCCGGCTAATTTTTTTCTCTATATATTAGTTGGCCAATTAATTTATTTGTATTTATAGTAGAGATGGAGGTCTTGATCTTGCTCAGGCTGATTTCAAACTCCTGACCTCGAGCAATCCACCCGCCTCAGCCTCCCAGAGTACTAGGATGACAGGCATGAGCGTTGCCCTAAAGAAAAGGCACTGGGTCTGACCACTGGCACACCTGCGCCAGGAACACAACCGACAGACACGTGTGGGAGAGAGCGCACTGGTGACTGTACAAATGCAGTGCCAAGGCCCGTCCCAGAGGACGCCATGCGCAGCCCGCCTCCCCTCTGGGCACCGCGAGTGCCGATCCCAGCACCGCCAGCTGGAGAGCGGGGAGGGGCCGGAAGTGATCGGACACACCAGGGCACTTCTGAGAGGTGAAGGAGGCGCCAGCAATCACACCGGCACAGCGGGCACCACCTGGGGCTGTCCCTGACAAACCCAGGCAGGCGGCCACGGTGATGCCGGGGCGTGTTCGTGAGCATCCCGAAACTCACCAGCCAGGGAACCCTCCTCTCCCTTCCCACGGTCCCAGGTAAAGTCCACAAGGCACCTAACACCCCTCCGGCCAAACCCGCACACACAGGCAGGTGGCACCAGCAGCCCCCTCAGACAGTGACGGCCAGGCCACAGTGGTCCTCCCAGGCCCGGTGGGGCTCCCACGCCTCTGCACCCCCAGCCTGCTGCTGCCCACTGTCCTCACTCCCCCTCCCAGACTCACGGGCCAGGGAAGCCAAGGGGACAGCCCTCAGGGACAGCGCTGCAGGCTCTCGGCAAGCACAAAGACACGTCTGTCTACCGCCACAAGTGGGACCTCTCCCGGGCCGGCTGTGGGAATGGCACCACGGCCAACAGGACTGGTGGTGACGGCCCCAGAGCCTGGGCTTCAGCTGACCCTCGAGCTAGAGGTGCTGGCCCAGTCGCTGCCTGGGACGGGAGTCACGCGAGCGGGCCCGAGTTCCGACCGACCCACTATCCGTAGGGTTTCTGTCCAAACGCTACGTACGCCACTGCGCGTCTCTCTAGGTCGGACCCTGATCCAGCGGTCCCCAGCCTTCCTGGCACCGGTTTCACGGAAGACAGTCTTTCCACGGATGGGGGTGGGGAGCTCAGGCGGCGACACGCGCGACGGGGAGCGGCTGTAAGCGCAGAGGAAGCTTCGCCCGCCGCCCACCGCCCGCCCGCCGTGCCCCCACCCCCACCCCATGCCTAAGTTTCACGGAAGACGATGTTTCTACACACCGGTACCAGTCCTCCGCCTGAGGGTAGGGGACCACAGCCCTATATTGTCTTAAAAAAAAAAAAACTAAGCCCGATAAAAGCTGCAGACTTGAATGGAAAGTCTGACGTGCTCGGGCGGAACTCACGCACGCCGCACACGAAGAGAGCGCAACTGAAGACTGGCCGGCCCGAGCAGGAGAAGGAAAGGCAGCAAAGGCACGTCTTCAAACACCGGGCGGGCTAGTTCCAAAGACACGCCGCCTCGGCCTGGCTCACGCCCGAAAGAGAACGTGAGAAGGGCCTCGAGGCAGGCCGGCAGGGTGTCACGTGCTTAGTTTCGGTCTAAGCGAAACCAGAGCCTCGGAAAGGTCCAGGCGGGGCCCCGGCGTCCGCGGTTAGCGAGGGACTGCGCCGGCCAGCCGGGGCGAGGCGGGGCTCTGCGGGGTGCACGGCCCCGGCCCGTTCTTACCATCGCACTTTGTTGCAGGTCTGGGTCGCGCCGAGGGGGGAGCCGGCCACCATGGGGACCTGGATGGGGCTGTGCTGCTTGTTGGTGACCAGGTCCAGCTTCTCCTCCAGCGACTTGCACGTGGCCTCCAGCGCCTGCAGCTTGGCCTCGATGCTGTCCAGCCGCAGGCAGATTGTCTGGTTGATTGAGTACAGGAACGACTGGAAGCACGAGAGAGGGGCGCTTTAGAAAGGGCACCTCGAGCTTCAAGGGGATGATTCCGAGAAACCCCGGACAGCTATTTCCTAATTTTAATTGCATCTGCCCCGACAAAACGATCCCTGCACTGTGACCAGCTCCTTAGTTATGGGCCAGAAACATCTGAGTAAACAAGTTCACATCTCAAATGCAAGTCACATTTTGTGTGTGCAGTGCGACCACTTAACCAGGGTTTTACTTGCATGCACTGCTGTGATTTTTAGTTAAGCCCATGTAATAAAAAACGTATGTCGTCTTTAATATGTTGTTATATTAATCAGTAAATTTACATAAAACTAGTCAGCTCTTTCTGACAATGAGAACAGATCACACCTAACATCAGAGCAGCAGAAAACCCGCACTGGCCCCGCACCTTTGCTTCCTACCCAACTGCCCTGCAGAGAAGGTCGGATTGCCTAAGTGTGCCCTGATTCTGACACCTGGCGTCATGCGGTCCTGAACGGCAAGCCTGCCCCCTAGTGGCGAAGAGCTGCATGGCTGCGTGTAGTCCCAGTTCTTGTTTTCAGGCAGTGCCCAGGAAGTAGCGCACCGTGCGCAGGGCTCCTGACCCGAGCAACAGACCAAACCCGCAACCACACAGGCAAGTTCTTCATTTGTCCCGCCACTGCCCCTGCCAGGAGCACACGTGGAAACGGATCAGTCAAGCAGGAGTCCTACCTCCCCAGGTCCCCCCAGCTGAGACACGGTCTCAGGTGCTGCAGAGCGGCAGGTGGGGACAGCACCACCAGCCCTGCTGGGCGGTACGTGAGCCCGGCACCTGACTGGAGAGGCAACACCTGAAAGCAATGAGGAACGTGTGCCGTCTTCCTTCTCCTTTTCTGCCCTCAACTTGAGAGCGCAGCGCCCAAGGTGGACACATCAGAAGGAAGGAGACGGGCCCAGGAAGGCGGACGTGGCACCTGGCAGCTACCCAGAAGAGCTGACGTGGCGCTCAGGGCACAGGCGGGAGTATGCCACGCACATCCAACTGCAGCTGACCCACAGCGCTGCTTGCGGCCCTCTCCCCGACCTGAGGGGACCTGCAGGTCACGAGACCGCAGCGGTACCTTGCACCGTGTCTCAGTGCGGGTGAAGAAGAAAATGCATGCTCTTCTGTGTGCATTCTCAGCAGGCTGAGCCCGTCTCGTGGGGCACCTAAACGTACCTGTGAGCCTTGCCGGTGTTCCGGGCAGCAGGGCCAGGCAGGGGCAGGAAAACCCACACCCACCCGGACAACCACTCTGCCCCAGGCAACCCCTTCTCCCGGCAACAGTGCAAAAATGTGCAGAGGAGACAGTTGAGGACACTGATTTAAATCCACCCACCTCTGCTAACGACCCTCAACCCTGAAGCAGTAAGAGAGGAAGACACGACATGTGTTAGGCGGGCGCACACGCACACACCGGTGCTCGGCCACCTCGGGGCCGTGAGAGGCCGTGTCCACGGCGCAGCTGATGCACGCGCTCGGGGAAGCCTGCATTGTTTCTGTAACTTGGAAATCTCTAGCGTTTGGCTCTTGAATTCTTTAAACGCAATAAGACAACATCACTTTAATTCTGAATTAGAGACGATTCTGGTTGGGGTTTGGGCGAAAATCACTATTACATACTAATAAAACAACTCACCAAAGAAATTAATAATAAAGAAGGAAGAGTAGGAAATAGTATTTTTATTGGCTCCTTAAAATTCAACTTAATTTTTTCTTCTTTTTCTTTTTTTTTGTTTTAGAGACAGGGTCTTTCTTGCTCTGTCACCCAGTGCAGTGGCATCATCACAGCTCACTGTGACCTTGAATTCCTGGGCTCGGCCTCCCGAGTAGCTGGGACTACAGGCCTGTGCTACCACACCCGGCTATTTTTTTTTTTCTTTTGGTAGAGACAAGGTCTCACTGCGTTGCTCAGTGACCATAGTGAGTTGCTCACAATGTTGGTCTCAAACTCCTGACCTCAAGTGATCCTCCCACCTCAGCCTCCCAAAGTCCTGGGGTTATAGGCGTGAGCCACCTTGTTTAGTATTTTTATATAAATCTTTTACATACAAGTGATAATAACCATAAACCACTCACATCTACTTGCCAAGGAGGTCCCAAAAAAAAAAAAAAAATCAGCCGGGCATAGTGGTGTGCACTTGTAGTCCCAGCTACTCAGGAGGCTGAGGCAGGAGGATCGCTCAAGCCCAGGAGTTCAAGGCTGCAGTGAGCCGTGATGAGGCCACTGCACTCCAGCCTGGGTGACAGACTGAGACTCTGTCTCCAGAAAAAAAAAAAAAAAAAAGAGCAAGAGAGAAGAGAAAAGAAAGACAGACGGGAGGAGGAGGAGGCCACATGAAGGTGAGGCAGAGACAGGAGCACTGGAGCCGAGAGCTGGCAAGCACCGGGAGCCGCTGGAGCCGAGGGGAGCAGAAGGAGCCTCCCTCCCCCACCGAGAACCTCTGCAGGGAGCGTGGCCCTGCCGCCACCGTGATTCCGGACTTCCGGCCTCCAGAACCGTGAGAAGGCGACCGTCGGTTCCCAGCCGCCCCGGCCACAGCGGCGAGGGAAGGGAGAGGCCTCCGCCCCGCGGGACGCGCGGCCGCCCTACCTTTATGGACGGGTCCTGGCAGTTGATTTCCAGCCGCTGGCGCTTCAGGGCCGGCTCGTCCTCGTCCGTCACCACGTGGTTCTCCAGAACAACTGAAATCAGTCACAGACACAAACGCCTGAGCTTCCACGTGCACAGCTCCACGCCATCCGTGTACACATTAACACAGTAAACGGCGCAGGCACCTTAAGGTGGAATGAGAGACGGCGCAACCGAGGTCACACGTCGCCTTCTTATGGCTTAAACCTAAAATTCTCAGTCAGGCAGAAAATAGGATGTCTCCCTAATCCCAGGAAAACCGAGATGCCAGATAAATTATTTCCCTAACGTGCCGCTGCGTCCGCCCGACACCGAGCCGCAGCCGTCTCGCTCGAGGCCGCCCTGTTGGTTTTAGTGCGATAAACCCAACTAATAATAATGATTTCTTCCCAACTTCAAAATAAGGTCTTGTCTGTTGGCTGCCTCGTTTCAAAGTCAAACTACCTTCTGAACATCCCATTTGCAGAGGTGCTGATAGTCCCGACAGTGTCAAACCCAACACAGTAACTTGCACAGAAGCCCTCTCTCCCTCCCCTCCCCCACAGCTGGAGTCAGGTGTCCCCCACCCCCGCAGCAACCTCAGGGGGTCACCAGGGCCCCCCCAGCCCCCGAGGATAAGCTCTTCGGCCCAGATGCAAGGCCTGCCACAAGTGGTCCCAACCTCCTCTGTCTAAAATTGACTGCAGGCCGGGCGCGGTGGCTCACGCTTGTAATCCTAGCACTCTGGGGAGCCGAGGCGGGAGAATCGCTCAAGGTCAGGAGTTCGGACCAGCCTGAGCAAGAGCGAGACCCGTCTCTCTATAAATGAAACAAATTAATTGGCTAACTATATATAGAGAGAAATTAGCCGGGCATGGTGGCGCATGCCTGTAGTCCCAGCTACTCGGGGAGTGGAGCAGGAGGATTGCTTGAGCCCAGGAGTTGGAGGTTGCTGTGAGCGAGGCTGATGCCAAGGCACTCACTCTAGCCTGGGCAACAAAGTGAGACTCTGTCTCAAAAAATAAAAAATAAAATAAAATAAAATTGACTGCAAAAACAGTATTAAAGGTAACCACAAAATCAAAGACAAAACTGTCCGCAATCATCTCTGTAAACCACATTTCTATTTGCCTGTGGCACTCCCAGCCCTCTCCCCCAGGCCTAGCTCATCTTTAAAAATGTACATATTTGCAATTATAGACAGAATTTTATAGTGGACGATTTTTGCTGAACATTATGTCATAAGTATTTTCTCATGTCACTACAATATTTTTTTTTCTTCTCACCTCCTGGCCTCAAATAACCAGTGGGAACTGTCTGGTGTGTTTCCCGCCTCTTTCCACGGGCGCACACGCGAGCACATGGCATCTGCCTGGGAGGGGCAGGAGCGTCACCAACAGCTCTGTCTACACCCTTCTTCCCCTTAGCAGTAAGTGTGGACGGCCCTCCAAGTTAATAGCTCTGTCTACACTCTTCCTCCCCTTAGCAGTAAGTGTGGACGGCCCTCCAAATTAATAGCTCTGTCTACACCCTCCCTCCCCTTAGCAGTAAGTGTAGGCGGCCTTTCAAGTTAATAGCTCTGTCTATACCCTTCCTGCCCTTAGCAGTAAGTGTGGACGGCCCTCCAAGTTAATAGCTCTGTCTATACCATTCCTCCCCTTAGCAGTAAGTGTGGACAGCCCTCCAAGTTACTAATAATAGCACTGTTGCTGTTGTCATGTTTTTTAGCGATGGGGTTTCCCTATGTTGCCCAGGCTGGTCTAGAACTCCAGGACTTGAGGGATCCTCCCACCCCGGCTTCCCAAGTAGCTGGGACTATCTGGGTTGACAGCGTTAGCTCACTTTTTAACAGTAATAACAGTCTGTGAATCTATTCTACAGAAATGAGTGCAGCGTATAACAATGCATATTATATATACGTACATATATGACATACATATATATGAGCATGTTTACTACAGCACTTTTGGTAGGAAAAAAAAAATCAGAAACCTGAATATTCACACACCTTGGCAAACCACCCATTGCACCTGCAAGCCCACCCCACACCACAGCCACCTGGGACGAACGCACTGTGGCCAGAAGACATCTGCCTTTCTACGGGCGGTGGGACTGTGAGTGACACTTACTTTCTTCTTTGTACTTTGCTACCTTTTGTGCACTTTGCTTTTTATCATTTGCATGCATTGCTCACAGAGTTAGACAAAAGAACTCCCGTGGCAATCAACTGGGACTCCAGGCCAGGTCACAGTCACAACCTACCCACGCTCAAACAGGCAGAGTGAGCACAGCCACATGGAAATATTAATAAGAAAAATCTGGAAAGACATACATGCCAACAATTTTTAAAGCAGCTACACCACTAGGACTGTGGGAAACTTTTATTTCTTCTACTTTCCTGACTATACTGTTGAATTTTACGAAATTCCTAAACCTACTATGAACCGCAAGGTGTGTCCTGCTCCCCGGTATTGGTGCCCTTCGGGTCACACAGGCCTCGGAGGTTTTAGTAAACAGCCAAGAAATCATAATTCCCAGGCATTTAGGGAACAGAGGTGGAACGAAATAAAGATTAGAAAGGATTCCTTTTTTGGACTATAGTCTACAAAGAGAGAATGTATTTGGGATAAGCTGTTAGAATTTTAAGAGTTCTGAAATGCTTAGAATGTATGTAATTGGAACATTTTTCTTTTGTATCAATGCAGCGTGTGTGTTTTCTAAATAAACTGTCACTCACCTTCCAAAATAAAAACAGATATTTTTGAAATTGTTATATGCAGTGATAGTGACCCTTATACACAAATCAGAAGCCAAATAAGGCGGAAAACTAAAGAATAGCAATTCCTGAAACACTCCCTGCATATTTCTTTGTGGTTGTTCATTTAATTCCGAAATGATTTATGTCACTCTCCCTTTCCACACTATAACTAATCTCCAATCTCCACTTTTCTCAATTAACATACGAAATAGATCATACAAGTAAGACATCATACTTTCTTATGGTATTTCTGAAAATTCTCTCTTCTGAGGGGAAAAATGTCAACATTTCAGTTCTAACCCTCCTCAAAGAACCAGCAGGCCACCGAAACGCTTGGTGGCTTCACTGTGTGCACCTGTGCCTTCAGACTTAACAGAACCATACGACACATACAACTTTAAAGCCAAAAAAAGAGACATCTTTTTAAAATAATAAGTGTGACTATTAACCAGGTGTTTTCATAGATAAAATTCCTGAAATTTAGGTTTTTGTACCTAAAGGGTGTCCTTAAAACAAATACTTAGTTAAGGCTTCAAAGTGTATTTGTGCCTTTACCCTGACTAAAGAAAATCACCAGCCTTGGTAAAAGTGGAGGGGGGGATAAAAAAAAACAAAACTTGCTCTCAACTATTATAGGTGGAAGAATAAATGAATAAAACATTTCTGGAAAATGTCAGTGCCTTATCAAAATTTTAAGCACACACAGCAATCCTACTTGTGGGAACTTACCCTACAAAAACACTTGCCAAGATATACGCGCAAGGGTCTCTCCTACAGGGTTGCATGTAGAAGAAAAGCAACACAAGCTGTGCAAAGGGTCGTCTAAGAAGGGAAGACTTCAACAAGTCAGGGTACACCGATAAATGGAATACCAGGCAATTGCTGAAAATATAAAAGTAGGTTCACACACACCGGTACAGTGAGATCTCCCTGTGTTGAGTTACACACAGGACGCGGCGGGGAAGAAAGCCGCAGGCCATTAGGAGTGCGGGATCCCATGGAGGGAGTGCGTGTGTGAGGGCGTGTGTGCGCGTGTGTCAGGGCACGATAGCAGGGACAGCCCCCAGGAGAGACAGTGCTGGAGGCTCCACCTCTGGGCATCTCGGATTTGAGTTTTCCACACAGCACACGCATCACCTTTTCTTCCGCGTAATTTAACGGAAAGAAAACGATCGGAGCGGCTTTTGGGTTCCAGAGAACGAAGAGGAGGAGGCTTCGCCTACTGCCCCACAGCTCTGTACCTGGGTGGTCGGGGCTCAGGTCCTCCACGGCGATCTGGACCACATCCGCCAGGTCGTGCTCCGACATCATCCAGGGCGGGAGGAGAGCGGCGGTCCACGCGCACACGGCCGAGTCGCAGAGGGGCTGGGCTTCCGTCCCCTGTCGCACCGAAGCCAAGGGAAAGGAAAGGGAAATTAGCGGTCAGGACACGTGAAACGACATAAACCGCTAACCGCCTATGTACACGCGGGATGACATAAATGCCTGTGCATTTGTTAATATGGGGGTGCCCTTGTCCCAGGCCACCTACAGGTGCGTGTGCTTTGAGGACTAAGGAATGGTTCCCGAGCATCGCTCCCTACCTCCCTCCTGGACCACTGACCGAGCCCCTCCCTGGCAGCCCCTCACTTCCGGCCCACCTTTAGTGCTTCCCTCTTGGAACGGGCTTGGAAACGTCACCCCCAAGACAAAAGTCCCCGCTGGGCGCTGACCACCTGCAGCAAAGTCCTGCGGTTTCCTGCTCCCTGCAGGGGTCTTCGTTCCCCACTACGCCCCCCCACAGCCTGGAAAGCCGGCCCCCCAGACGTGTCACACTGCGGCCTCCCGCAGCGACTCAGGGTCCCTCCCAAATGGACCCGCCACTGGGGCCACACCTCATGCTCGCTCTCTCCTGTTCCGCGGCCGGCGGCCTGGCTTTGCTTCCTCTCCGCTCTCAGGGTCAGCCCTGAACCGCAGCGCCGCCCCGCACCAAGGCCGCAGCAGGGCAGTCCGCCCTCTCCCCAGCCTAGCGCCGTGTCTACGACACAGCCAGTGACTTTCTTCAGGCTCCTGCGACGCTCTGATTAGGCATCAAGAGCCCTTATTTCCCAAAATAAAAATAAGGCTGCATCATGCAAACTGCGGCCTGTCCACGCATAGATTTAAGCGTAACGCTTGAAAACAGGATGTCTCAGAAAACTCAGGAACGGATGTCACCGTAACAGTTTTATCATATTGTACTTTATATTCTAATTATTTCTAAATAATGCTTATGAGATAAATCCTGTACTTGTCTTTCCCAAACCATACGACGCACTCCTAGAAGGCGGAAACCACTCGCCCGGCTCCCCACAGCAAGTTCCTCCCACGGGCGGGCGCCTCCCGGCCGTCCCTGTCCTTAAACCCAACTCCACGGCAGGGGGAGGGGGGTTTTCAGGTCACGCAGCTTCAGCTGTGAGTCCACTGACAACTCCAGTTAATGGATAAGTTCCGACAAGCATAGAATTACGTTAGCAGGCTTCACACATGTTCTTAAACCCTATAAATGATGTGGCTCCTCCTCCCCTTTGTCTATGTTTAAATTCTACAGCTTAAACAGCAGCAGCTCCAGAATTTCTTGGGGACAATAATTAGGGGAGGAGGGAGCCAAGCACTGTCTTAAATCTTCCTTTATAAAGACGGTATTTTTACAGAAACATACGATCTAATGTATGAGTAATAAGGTGGCAAAGGCGGCTTTATTCCCGCTTTCTAACTCTACACAAGATTAGATTAATTGAGAACAAATCATCAATTGTCCTTAACAAAGAAGCGAGCTGGTGACGAGTACCTGGCAGAGGAAACAAAGGGCCTCAGAGGTACGAAGACTGAAGCTTCTGGAAGCCCAACTCTGGAAAGACGGGAGTGACAGGCTTTTAGTCTCCCCAAATCCTTCCTAGAAAACACGCAGGGCTGCTAGGGTGGCAAAATTAAAGCCAGGTCGACGCCTACGACAGAACTAGGCAGCGAGATACTCTCTTAACTGACCCCAGACACCAGCAAATGGGACAAACCACTGAAAGCTCAGAGGCCACCGTGGCCTGAGACCGTGTGAGAAAGGAAAAAGAAGGAAGTCCTGAGCCCAGGGAACAGCAGCTGGGCGGAGGGGCACACACGGCTGGCCATGGGGAAAGGACAGGCCAGTGTGGGCGCAGCACGGGCTGGACAGCACAGGGTCAGCCGTGGGCACAGCATGAGGCCAGCAGTGGGCACAGGCCAGCAGTGGGCACAGGCCAGCCGTGGGCACAGGCCAGCCGTGGGCACAGCATGGGGCCAGCAGTGGGCACAGGCTGGCCGTGGGCACAGCATGGGGTGAGCAGTGGGCACAGGCCGGCCGTGGGCATAGGCCAGCAGTGCACAGCATGGGACCAGCCGTGGGCACAGCATGGGGCCAGCAGTAGGCACAGGCCAGCCGTGGGCATAGGCCAGCAGTGCACAGCATGGGGCCAGCAGTAGGCACAGGCCGGCCGTGGGCACAGCATGGGGCCAGCAGTAGGCACAGGCCGGCCGTGGGCACAGCATGGGGCCAGCAGTAGGCACAGGCCAGCCGTGGGCACAGCATGGGGCCAGCAGTAGGCACAGGCCGGCCCTGGGCACAGCATGGGGCCAGCAGTGGGCACAGAATGGGGCCAGCAGTGGGCACAGCATGGACCAGCCGTGGGCAAACGCAAAGGGAACTGTACTAGTGTCCAAAGGCCTAGGATTCGCTGGACACCAAGAACTCTCAACGCTAACCATCCCAAGCTCCCTTCAAGGCCAAATACACTGAAAAACATTACTGGGAATAGAAAACAAAACATACCAGGCATGGAAATTAGAAAGGAAGGAAAATAAAAGCTAATTAAAGGTTGGCGAGCACAGAGCTAGGAGAGCACAGAAAATAAGATGCTACATTTTCAACACTTGGTTAAAAAAAAACCACCACAAGACAGAACCCCAAAACACTGTAATTAGAAAAACTATTCTAAATCAAGCCTCTCTTCTAAATTCACATAAAAATAAGCAATACAGAATATTGAGGGCAAATCTCATGCAAAGATAATATATTTTAAATGAGAATAAGAACCCAGGCACAGTGGCTCACGCCTATAATTCCAGCAACTCGGGAAGTCAAGGCAGAAGGATAGCTCAAGCCCAGGAGTTCGAGACCAACCTAAGCAACATAGTGAAAACCCCATTTCTTTAAAAAATGAAAAATAATTAGCCAGGCATCATGGCGCATGCCTGTAGTCTCAGCTACTCGGGAGGCTGAGGCAGGAGGATCACCTGAGCCCAGGAATTTGAGGTTGCTGTGAGCTAGGCTGATGCCACTGCTGTACTCTAGCCCAGACTACAGAGTGAGACTCTCGTCTCTAAAAAGCAAAGCAGGAACAAGATGACATCACTACAGACAATGAAAGCATGCTAGAAAAAACAAGTCCCCCCCAAAAAAGATGAAAACTATAGCCTAATATCTCAAAACAAGTTCAAATACATGAAAGCTGTAAGATATCATTCATCATAAACCAGCATTAGAAAAACTCAGCAATGAGATGACACAACTCGATCAAAATGAAGGGATGAAAAGAGTGCAAGGACAAGGGGCAGAGAAGACCCAGCAGAGGTATCACAGGAGACCTGGAAGAAGAAAAGTAGAAGCAATGAGATGAAACCCTAAAAACTGTAATTCAAGAAAACTCTCAAAAAAGGGGGCGGGGAGAGGCCTGAAACTACTTATTAAAAGGTATACCACAAACCTGGTGGAAAAAGAAAAAACAAAAACAGAACGACCAACAAAACTCCAAGACACATTACAACAAAACTATTATATAAAGAACAAAGAAAAATTCCTTTAGACATCCAGGCAAAAGATGAGGCAAACAATACTGTAAAGAAAATCAGATAATCAAACTATGACAGAAAAACTAGATCAAGATTATTTAAGATACTCAAGGATTAAGAAACGTGAACCCTTTGGGGGAAAAAAATCCTTCAAGTCTGCCTTTAATATTTCAAAAATAAATAAATAAGAAATGTGAACCCAAGACATGAGCTCCTTTTGAGTACAGACAGGCAGAACAGGGTGTGTAACACGCTATTTTTAAGAAATATGCAAGATGTGCACAGAACACTTCTGGGTTAAGACTGTCAATGCACAGGAGTGAGAAGGAAATTACTGCTCACTTTTCAGCCTTTATCTGCATTTTTTATCATGTGGATTTATCACCTTTTCAAAAATAAAAAAAATAAAAAACAAGTTTATAAAATGACCGGACAAACAAATACACAGGTATGAACTGTGGGGAAGGCCTCAACCTTCGACCTCGGGGCTGCTCCAAGGGGAGCCCGTCAGATGCCGTGTCAGCCAGCACAGGAGGACCCGCGGGGCCCAGCGAGTGTGACGGGGTTGTGTGATCACCCCAAACCCGTGTCCCCCGAGGAGGCCCTCTCAGTATGGCTTAACTGCCGGTCAGTCTGAAGACCAAAGCAACACACGACGCCATAAACTCGGTCTTCTTTCTTCCAAATTAAGAACCACAAGCAGAGATAGCATTAAAAGGATGAGCCAAACTTCCCAAGGAGAGCAGCAGTGCTCAGTTAGACGATGCCAGCCACCCGACCTCCGCCTTGGTGGACTTAAAACACTTTAGGGTCACAGACTGCTTTCAGAGCCTCAAAAACAAAAACAAAAAGACACAATAGACCCTTGTCCAGGAAAAAGCACAGGCAGTTCCAAAGGCCTCACTAATACCAGGGGCCACGGGCCGCCTGTCCCACGTCTGCCTCTCCCACAGCACGCCAGGGGACGGCACGGAAGGTGTGCGGGCGGCTCCCGGGAAACCTCCGGGGAGAGGAGTGGCAGGACAGTGGCGGAAGGAGCGTGGTGTGCAGCGCAGCCCGCAGGAAGGACCCCGGCCTGCCGGCCCAGGAGCTGCCGCACCGCCCAGGCCGCCTGAGACCTTCTCATAAGAAAGGAAAACAACCAACCACCTGGTTTAAAAACGACATAATCTGGAGTCTGTCACACGGCACCAGACTGAACCTAAGGACGGGCCCTGCGTCCACAGGTTCCAGGTTAAACACCTGCCTCTCAGAAGGGGCTGATGGAAACTGTTCTTAAATGCTCGATCCAAGCTTGTTCCTGGTTTCTAAAAGCTCTGGTGGTGGCTTAAGAAAATACTCCAAACTCACCACGGAATCCTGAATCCTAACCCTCTTCCAAATCAGAACACCACACGATATCCGAGTTGTTTACCCAAAAATCACTCTGTTGCCAGGATAGAGTCATTTAAAATTCTGCTAACAGTAAAGGTTTCAATAGCAGAAACTAGGGCAAGAAGCCCAGGAAAACTGGAACAGAGCGATGCGTGCGGTTGCTATTTTGGCAAATTAAATTTGCCATTTCTCAGAAGTCCTGGGGATGGTCCAGCCTCGATATAATATCGTAAAACAGCTGGAAGGAGACTAACGTGCAATGGAGCCTCTCACCAAAACGCTGATGGCACTTACAGCCCCACCAGGTCTGCAGAGAGGGGCCTCTTCCGGGGCACTCATGAGAGAGAAGAGCCTGCCAACCACAGCACCCGCCCGCGTGCTCCCCAGCAGGGCAGGGCGAGGTAACCACGTGCGTCCACACGCCCGGCATCAACATGCGCGAGCGTGATCTAATCACGCCAGCCAAAGGGAAAGATCTCCAGAAGGCGACACTGGCAGGAAGGAATAAACGGAAAGCTGCAGGGCAGCGTGTGTAACGTGATCCCGACTCTGTTTCCTAAAAACGGCACATACGTGAAGTCGCACGCCCACGCGTGAACACACACGGGTGGCTGGGAATGACACGAGCCAGCAGCGAGGCCGCCCCCCGGGGAAGAGCGTGTGGGCGGCGTGCGCTCAGCCTCACCTTACACTCCATCCTGGAGCTGCCGAGTTTCCTGCCGGCACCTGCTATTCATGCGCTACCTGTGACCCTCTTTCCCAAATCAGGTAAGGAGCCCACAGGTGAGGTCAGTGACACCGACTCCTGATAAAGGTGGCAGCACCTTCTCTCACCCTGCCCTGATGGCATCTTCCAGCCCACAGGCCTCGGGGCTCCCCATAGCCGAGCAGGGCTGCGGAGGAAGAGCCCCTCTCCACCCTCCGCCCCCCAGCTGGGCCACGCCCTGTCCACCCCACTCTCCCAGCCCCACGTGACACCCTCTCTGCTCCCCTCCCCGGGCTCAGCTCCACCCTGGGGGCAGCACCTGCCGCTGTCTCCCTCCTCCCCTCCGGCTCCAGGTCAGAACCCCTCTGCCCCACACTCATCGGGGGGTTCCCCTCCAGAACCCACCTGGGGGTGCCACTCGGCCGGAACTGCCCCAGCCCAGACGCTGCCCGGCTCCCGCACACAGCCTCCCCATCCTGGCCCCGCCTGGCCGTGTCCCTGCCGTGGCTGCCCAGGCCGGGCCAGCCTCCCCATCCTGGCCCCACCTGGCCGTGTCCCTGCCGTGGCTGCCCAGGCCGGGCCAGCCTCCCCATCCTGGCCCCACCTGACCGTGTCCCTGCCGTGGCTGCCCAGGCCGGGCAGGGCCCCTACACAGCCTCCCCATCCTGGCCCCGCCTGGCCGTGTCCCTGCCGTGGCTGCCCAGGCCGGGCCAGCCTCCCCATCCTGGCCCCACCTGGCTGTGTCCCTGTCGTGGCTGCCCAGGCCGGGCCGGGGCCCCTGCTCAGCAGACACCGGACACACCTCTCCGTTGGTGATGGCACCCTGCCCTCCCGGGACTCTCAGCGAGCGCCAGGTCCACGGAGGAGACCGCCCCGAGGGCCCTCCCTCAGGATTCCAGTCTGCATTTTAACACGTTCAAACTGAACCGGCGCCCACCCCAAGCCAGCCCGTCCCCCCAGACTTCCCATCTCAACTCAAGGCAAAGCCCACTCCCCAGCTGCTCAGGCCAACGCCCGCCGTCCCTGCTGCCTCTTCTTCTGCGTGTGACCCTCTCACTCCACCAGACCCGCCCGTCCCCAGCCCAGCACCCCAGCCTGCACCCAGGCCATCCCTGAGGGCGGAGCATGAGGCTTCCCCGCTGTAGCCCGATTCCGCCTCTGCCCACGGCCCGTCTCAGTGGCAGCCGGAGGGGCCACATGAAAACACGGTCAGACGGCGCCCCTCCAAAGCTTTCCTATCTAAGCCCCAGCGATGGCTCTGGGGCCCTCCCCAGCGGGCCGCTCGCTGCCGATGCCTGAGTGTGCCCTTGCTGTCCTGC